CATAGGGACAGAGAAGAATCATGTTAGCTGGGCTGGTCCACATTAGCCTTTAGCACGTCCGGAGCCCACAGTCGTCTGGAGCAGTGGAGTCAGCAACTGAAATTTGGAGGTGCCTGCCAGCCAAATAGAAATCTGTTGAGACAGATTTAAACTAGGAGCATAAGTTAAAATTTATGAACTTATTTGGAACCCTTAGGTCCATACCCTTAGTAATGGGAAAAGCAGTAGTCCCAAGACCAGGAGAGAGGAAAAATACCATCTTTCGGAATACTTTTCTGGGGTCCTTTCGACCCCTGTGAAGTGAGTCTAGGTTTTTATGACTCTTTTGATCCTTTGAGGCCTACTTACAAAAGTTTTACATACATTACTATTATCAATCTGTACTGAAATCCATATTGTAGACAAAGCAGGTAATGGGTATCTGTAAATTTTTATATCTTAGAACATCTTTTTAAAAGTGAGCTAACAAGCTAGCTATGTCCTTGCAGAAGGATCTGGTTGTCTGATGCTGCCATGCTGACAAAGTTAGAGCTAGCCTAGCCATCAGTACTGTCAGAGATCTGAGAAGGAAAAACTATATCTAAGCGCAGACCAAGAAGCATCCAATCCTATAAATTACAGGGACCAATCCCTACCCAGGTCTCAATAGCGTTGGAGGCACCAGTCAGAACAGCATCAATCTTCTTCCGCCATCAGGCCCATAAGGCAGAGTATTTTTCCTGTGGAACAGGGACACAGAAGACTGACCTTCAACTCCAGTGTCCTACTGCTTATCCAGTCTGGGCTGGGTCCTGGCATTGGGGCATCTTGCCCTGTGGTCAGCATTGTCATAATCCAAGCAGAGACGTTGTGGTGCCTCATACGTAATCTTCTTCAGAGACCTTGGGTCACTGCTAGGATCTGGAAGCCTGTCTGATATAATAAACTTTTAGAGCAACATTTAAATGCCATATTCTGCAGATCTCTGAAGTATGAGGGCTGTCCAGATGTTTGAATAGACAAACTTTGTTTCTAATTACTTGTTTTAAGCTCAACCCTGAAAACAAATGCAAGGGACTGAATAAATGAGTAAACTTATTCCTGTAATATTATATCAGTACTTATTTATCCTGACTATAATTAAAAATAAACTTGATTACTCATGATTGACTAAAAACAATGCTTTTAAGTTGAAGCTTCTTCTAGCATTAAATACAGGTTCAGTAAAGAAATCAAAACAAAATATCAATATATGTATCAGCTTATCTAAATAACTTAAGCTTAGCAAACTTAGCAAATACAAGGAGGCTAGACAACATTCTTAAACCTGAATGTACCTTGGGTAAGGAGAAACATTTTTAAGTCATTGGTTTTTAACTATAAAAACTGTCTTTAAGAGATTAAGATCTTACAAATATACTTTAAGGGGGAGAAAACATAATCTCCTTGGTTCTTTTACTAAGAAGCTTGGATGATTTCTTTGACCCTATCTTTGGCAGCACATACATAGTCTGTCTGTTTTATTTTATTATGGCTGGTGTTTCCAATGATCATCACCTGACACTGGCAATTTTAAAACTGCTAAGGTCCATCACTGCAACCCGACTCTTTTTGGAACCTTAGTCCTGCCATATATTTACAAACCTCAGCTGTTTCCTATGATCCTTTTATGTCTTTAAGATCATTATCATTTTACATGAGTAAATCTTAAATTATAAAGTTTAGCTGCCAGAGCAAGGTATATTTCTGTGTATAAAGGCATTGATGTGTAACTTTAATATTTATCAAACATATGTTGTTATCTACTTAAATTTTTAGAAACTTAGTAAAGACATAAGTACTTAGGTGTTATATATATTTTTTTAAACAATAATTACTTGTATACATACATACAGTTGGATCCAAGTTACATACATACATACATACAGTTAAAGCTTGCTTACATTTCCAAGTCATATACCTGTTTAATCATTAGCCATTTCTAAGATGAAAACCAAGCAGAATTAACTTTCAAATTCGGTATTTGCGATAGTATTGATAGTATTTATCCGACGGGCGCCTCGCTGCCCTCCGCCTTCTCTTCCCGGAGTCGGGAAAAGCTGGGTTGAGAGGGCGGGGGAAAAAAAAAGGATGAAGACGTGGAATGAGAGCTGTGGCGGCGGGATGTGACTCGTGGGGGCATGTCTCGACCCTTGGAAGGGAGTGGAGGCGTGGTCCTCAGGGTGGGTGGTGGGGCTCCAAGGTCGCCTACCTGCTGTGTGTGTGGAGTCCCACCCCACACTGCTTAGTTTCTGGGAACAGTGGGGTCGCCGCTCGGGATGGGGCTGGAGACAGAGTGGCCTCAGGCCAAGGCTGGCTGCAGCTTCTCTGCGTTGACCTTGGAGTGGTCACTGTACCTCCTGGTCTTGTCCTTTGCTCGGCAGCGCCTTCCCTTGCCCTCCCCTTGGGTCCTGGGGTGTGTCACCTTTAAACGCAGCTGGGGCAGAGCAGCCGGTAGCTCTTCTTGGCTTGGCTTGCCTGGGCTCGTGAATGCTTGGCCAAAGTCTGTGGAGTTGGGTTTTGTTTGTTTGTTTGGTTGGTTGGTTGTTTTTTTTGTTTGTTTGTTTGTTTGTTTTTGTTTTGTTTTGTTTTTTGTTTTGTTTTTTGCTTGTTTTAAAACGACCCTACTGTGTAACTGTATCTGTTCTGGAATTTAAGTAGACCAGTTTGGCTTCGAATTCGAAGTAGTCCTGCCTCTCTACCCCCTCAGTGCTGGGATTACAAGTGTGCATCACCAATCCCAGCTGAAAAAAAAAAAAACTTTTATGGTGATGGATGGTTGTAATTTAATCCGGAAAAAAAATGTTCTTTACTGTTACCCTCCACCGACCCCCCCCCAATATGAATAAGAAACTGTAGCAACGTTATGTATTACTAGGGAAGGAAAGTATTCCTGCTAGAATTCCATTAACTGCTAGTATTAAAATATTTGTGATGTACTGTTAAAAAAAAGTTCAGTATTTGCAGGTATAAACAGTTTACTGACCTTTTATAATCTTTTTTTTTTCCTTTTATAATCTTTTATATCAAAGTCTTTCTTGTGATTCCCCTCAGTAATCATAGACAAGAAACTGTCGGTTAGCCTCACATAGGGAGTGACATTCCATTCTTGGAGCCAGATCCTGATCAGGTTTTAGCCCCAGGGCAGGTCTTGGGAGTCCCACCCAACAGCATGGGAGATGAAGAAGACACACAGGCATGCACCATGGGGGCAAAAGATTGCTATTAATCTCAGATTTTTAAGTACAACAGAGCAGCAGACTAAAAGTGACTCCATGCCCTGGCTGGGCCCACAGACCTGTCAGCTGTGACCCTGGAAGGGCAGTTAGTTCTCCACAAGCCCCCACATTCTGAGCTCCTCAAGGCTCCAGCTGACTCCTGCCAGCTCCGCTCTGCTCCATTGCTCACAGGCTGCCTAGCCAGTGTCTGGAGCCGTTTTGGAGGATTTTTTTTTCCTGCGCTGGCAGCAGATCTGCATGAGGGGAGTGATTCCATCATTAGCCTCCCCGGTCCTCTGGAAGGACCCGGGGTTTTTCACATTTGATTTCCTTAAGAGGGTAAAGGGGGGAAATGGTCGGAGGGCAGTCGGGGCTGAAGGGACAAGGGGAGTTTGAGAAGGAAGAGGGGGAGGTCTGGGTCCCAGCGTTGCTGGGGCAAGCGAAGCAGTGAGAAACGGCTTCACCCAGACAGGTGGATCTCTAGCTAAACTCTCCCAGACCGAAATATAAGGCACTTGATCTGGGTGTCCGTGTGGTCCTTGGTCAAAGATCCGAGCCTTCACCTGTGAAATGATGTCAGTGTTAAAAGTCCCATCCCCTGGCCAGCTGACCCCAAAGGCCGGCCATTCCGAGGAACAGAAGGTGATCCATTTCCTTTTCTTGACATCCAGAGAGGCATTGGGAGCCCGAGTGAGGACATCCTTCCAGTTACCTAAAGTCAAACTTAGGGGGTAGTTAGTTGTTGCCCATATGGAGAGAGAAAGGTAGAGGCAAAAGACAGACTACAAAAAAACAAACACAAAGAGGACAAGGACAGACACAGTCCCCGTGGTAGTTGATTCAGCTACAAAACCAAAAGTACAAATTACAAATTCAAATTCAAATGGGAGTGGCTGCTGTGAACAGCCTCACTCCCCCAGGGAAGGAGAGACTCATCTCCTTCTTCAGATCACTCCGGAGGAGACCTCCAGAGTGGGGACCCGGGGACCCTAGAGCACGTCTGCTCTCCCACATAAGTCCCAGACACAAGTCCTGCATACTTCTGCAGGCACCAAATACAAATGCCAAATCAACCAGACAAAAGACAAGACACAACAACATAAAACATAGATCGAGCTCATTTTTACCTCCAACTGGCAGAGTGGGGGTCCGGGGGGCACCCCAATCTCGGTGGAACCTCCAATGTTGGACCCCAAATCTGGGGGTCTCAAGTGGGCGCCCCAAGAACCCAGACTCCAGTCCAGTTGATGCAAATGCAAGAGGATTTATTAAAGCTTCTATATAGAAGGGCAAACCCTGCTCCTAAGAGCAAGAGCCGTATCTTACTGCAGCCCCTAAGGGCTTATAAAGGAAAAACCCACAAAAACCACAAGATTACAATTCCCATACAATTTCATTTCATAAGATCATGGTCTGGTTACAGAGTGATCACAGAGGGGGTACAGTTAAATCAACAGGTACATTCTTCCTGAAACCTCAAGGGGGGGATATCAGGGCGGGAGTGGAGTTTACACAAAGGTCACAGTGGTCCTTCCTGGAACATCTGCAACTATCCCAGTCACAGTTGAGCACACCTCTTAACAGAAATCTCTTTACATTGTTATATGGTTGCAGGGGAGATTGAACAATGGCTAAGTCAGGTTGCCCTTGGAACTAGATTTTTAGTTTCTCATTTCTTGGTGCTTGAAGTTTCTCTTTTCCTGAGGCTTGGGGGTGTAAGCCTGAAGGGCTAGGGTCTTTCACTGAGATTAAAGGCGTGCGCCACCACCGCCCGACCCACAACAGAATTTTGGAAGCTGTCTCCTGAGCAGCCTCGGCGCGCACACCCCGGTCCCTCCCCTCCCGTGTCCCAGCCCCGCAGCTCCTCTGACCTGGGAGGTTCCAGGGCC